CCCCCTTCTAAAAATGACTTGTAAACTCAATCAGGTGTAGCTAATCACCTTCTCAATGGCACACAAAGCCATTTGACTTTCAACTGTGATCAGCTGTGGTCAATCTGATTAGCTCAGCATAGGGGTGTGCGATATAACCATTTTTGATTGTGGGCGATTAAAATGTCTCCACGATCTGCTTTTGTGCTACAGCGCATAAAATAATAGCACAAGGGAGTGACCGTTTTTCCAAGTCAGTGATTCTGTTTTTTTTATTTTTACTTGACAAAATGTACCAGTATATATATATATATATAGAGTTCTCTCCAGCGCTGGAAAGCTGATCCGATATTTACTCGGGTCCTACTTCTTGCCTTAAGGCTTGTTTTGTTCCGCAGATGTTTTCCTCTTTTGTTTTTTTATCCGCCATCTCTATCTTTCTGTCGCTCGGCTTGCTAATGTCCGTCCTGTGCACTGAACGCTCTCTCCTCCACATCACGAGTAGACACGCCCCTTACTACTGATTGGCTACAAGTTTGTTTTGCCAGTCGGCCCGAATCAGTTTTCTAAAGCGTTTTTGAAAAATCGCTTACCCCACCTTTAAGAATACACTCAATTATAATCACGCAGGTTTGTTTACGCATTAAACTCGTGGCCACGAGAAAAATATGTCGTTCCCTCAACATAAGAAGTCGTGGCCATGAGAAATGGAAGTCATTCCCTTAACATAGCATCTCGAGGCCACGACATAATATCACATTCCCACGAGTTAATATGACGTTCCCTCAAATTAATACCTCGTGGCCACGACATATTATCACGTTCCCACAAGTTATTATGTCATGGCCACGACAAAACTAAGTGAACCGAATATGTCAGCTCCCGGGCACCATAATGAACACAGATCAGTTTGAAGAAAATTCTGGCCTCACACCTGCCAGATTCAAGGTTTAGTTTCTAAATAGATTATTACCGACCTCTAGTGGTTGTTCAGGAGCAGAGTGTGAATAAGATTTATTTCAGTTCACTTCATTGTGCACCTTTATACAGTCTACGGTACACTCATGACATTATTCTTGTAGACTTTTATATTTTAGTCATGGAATTTATTTATTTTTTTCTCCAGATCTCACAGCCAGGTCATGAATCACCAAAACATGCATCACCAAAAATGGACAAAGGTTTACACAACTGGCCTAGAACTGGATCTGCCTGATGGTTGCAATGTATGCTAATCATAATCCTGAATTCCAAGAACAGGCAACAGGTCATTGTTCTCAGGCTGATTGCGTTTTATGGTTGACATTTCCTTCTAGTTAACGCTATTGTTTTGGGGCAGAAGGAATTTTTCCATTATCAGTATCAGTGTGTATTACAGACAATGGCACATATTATTAGTTTGTTGCCTCTTTCTTGATATTACAAAATATATATTTGTGCTGGAAAATACAACAAAGTTTTTTGTTCATTTGTTTGTTTAAAAAAATGTGTCTTATTTTTAGTGCACGTTTAGGTGCAGCAGTGTTAATTTAATGTTATTTGTATACTAATATAGTTCTTTTCAATATTTTGAATTAGTCTTTGTTTTTAAATTGACAGTTTTTTTTAGTAATTGCATGTTTTTTTGCTTTCATAATAAATAGCTTACTTGTTTAATTTAATTTAATTTTATATTATTTTGTGTTTCTGTTTAATAATTTCATGGGTTTACTTGTAGGGTTACTTTTCATTAAAATTCCAATTCCAAAAATACTGTTCCTAAAATCTCTTACAAGCTTGTACATCTGAAAAATGTCAGTTTTACCCAGTTACCAAGTCACTTACTCTTACTACTCAGTAAGTAGGCTAATAGACAGTAATCAGAAAGAGGCTTTATAACTCATTCAGTCAAATTAAACATAATAGTAAAGCTCATAAAAGTGTGAATCTGAAGCAATCAGATTTATTGAGCACTGTATGAGAAAACATTTTGTACCGTGGCTTTAGCAGAAATGTACTGACTAGGCAGATTGAGCAACCATCTTTACTAGATTCTAAGGGAATGTTTTCAACATGATGTGACTTTCATATGTCATGAAATTGCTTAATAAGCAGTATCAGTTTGTAAAGGTTATGTACAAGTAAGTACAAAACTGCACGTACATGCCACAGGTTTCAGCACCATGGATAGAGTATTGATTTAAATCTTCATCCTTATCTTGGAACTTTCTGATACATTATTTTGTCATTTTTCTGCATTATTTTATGTGGATTATGGCAACATATCCTTATACATTTCAAATTATTGTCATTAATTACACTCATATTTAACTCATCTCATTTATTGAAACATCTTCATTATCTGTACAGCTGAAACAGGAAAACAGTGTGAAGTCACAGACTTCAGCATGAAGTCATCGACTGACCCAAACTCCAAACCCATAAACAAAAAGAACACCAACAGGGAATCAAAGACAGCCAATACATTTTCAGACTGGTGCTAGTTGGAAGCGATAGTCCTGTCGATCCAGGAGCGCAGGTGGGAGATGCGGGCGTAGACTGCAGGGAAACGGGTGTCACAACTGTTTCTTCCCCAGGACACAGAGCCCACCAGAGACCAGACCCCTGAACGCTCACACACCAGAGGACCACCAGAATCACCCTATGGAAAACACACATTTGAGATTGAACAGCAGCAACATTGAGATGGTAATGTGTT